GTACTTAATTTTCAGATCTATCTCCATTACCAAGGAGGTTAAATTAGGTAGCCGGTTGATCGAGCTAATAATATTGAGGGCTGTACCTCTCGGCATAAAGAGCGAAACTTTCTTTTCTTTAAATGCGAGTAGTTTTTCCACTGATTTCGGTACATGCTGGCAGTAAATAAAGACAGTCTCGGAGCGACAAGCTCGAAGGTAAGCTGGTACGTACTCACAGATATCCTCTATCAGATCGCAGCAGGAGTGATAGAAATCTTGCAGGATCACTTGTAAGTATCTGATTGACTGGAAGTGTCTCATAATACAATCAATTAAGATCAAATGTCCCTCATATAATTCAAAGCGATGAATTTTCTGATCTCTGTCCATTACGGCCATGTACTTTTCAAGCGTGTCCATTGAAATAATGGTATATTTGTTGCTTTTTATGTTGTTTATGTCTTTGTGGTAACGGAACTTGGGCTCTTTACCTGGAATACCGGAGATGAACATCAGCTTCGTTCCATATGGCCACATTTGATACACGTGAATGTTCTTGTATAGTTTGAGCTTTACAACGTGATAGAACTTTGAGTGCATTGGAGCAAGTACCAAAGCTTGATGTTGGTTCATGTGGTTCAAAATGGCCTGCAAAACAGTGAATGGTAAAGTTGACAAAATCATTGAAGAAAAATGTAAACTTGGTGACAGGAAGTCCTGGTAAAATCGTTGGAACGCTTCTGTTTTATATAGTAGTTGGCGTACTACACCTTCCTAAAATGCAAATAATAATTGGTGCTCCTTTCAAGGTTAAATAAGCACTTAAAAGATGCAGTTTCTAACTTTTGAGTGTTGGGTAGCATTGTCCTGTAATTCTTTCCAATTGCTGGAATACGCCTTAATAGGAAGTTGCTGTGGAACTATTAGTTCATAGTTGTTCAGCTATTACACAGATAGTTTCAGCCACATCACAAGCTGATGGTTACTTTTACGCGGTCTAGAAATCGTTAGAAGGGTAGACATTGATTCTTAAAAGACTTATTTTAAAGTAAGGAGTCATAGTAGAAGCGTAGACACACTTTAAGGTAGTATAGTTTGTAGTAAAGTAAAGGCAGTGTTACTTATTCAGTCTTCCCCAGTTCTTCTGATGTGAGCTACCAATCTGAATTAAACTTTGTTGCAGCGCGATGCCCAGAAGGAAAAAAAAAAAATTAATCTCCAGCCCATCTCATCATCCTTATTCATCATTCATCATCATCATAATATAATATGGGGAAGGTACAGAAGAAAAACAGCAAAGGTCGTTTAGATAGATATTACTACCTTGCCAAGGAGAAGGGATATCGTGCCCGTTCGTCATTCAAAATTATCCAAATAAATGAAAAGTTTGGCCATTTCTTAGAAAAGTCGAAAGTTGTCATTGATTTATGTGCAGCTCCAGGTTCATGGTGCCAAGTTGCATCACAGCTATGTCCTGTTAACTCGTTGATTATCGGGGTAGATATAGTCCCCATCAAGCCTTTACCTAACTGTATAACATTTCAGAGCGACATCACCACTGAAGATTGCAGGAGTAAATTGCGTGGGCATATGAAGACATGGAAAGCTGATACAGTTCTACATGATGGTGCTCCGAATGTTGGTTTAGGCTGGGTCCAAGATGCATTCACTCAATCGCAGTTGACCTTGCAGGCCTTGAAGTTGGCAGTGGAGAACTTGATTGTGGGAGGGACATTTGTGACCAAGATTTTCCGATCAAGAGATTATAATAATTTAATGTGGGTCTTTCAGCAACTATTTGACAAGGTCGAGGCTACAAAGCCACCGAGTTCGAGAAATGTTTCTGCCGAAATTTTTGTTGTCTGCAGGGGCTTCAAAGCACCAAAGAAGTTGGATCCCCGTCTTCTAGACCCTCGTGAGGTATTTGAAGAATTGAACGATACGAAAAGCGTCAATAACGAGGAAAAAGTGTTTAATCCGGAAAAGAAGAGAAGGCAAAGACAAGGTTATGAAGAGGGTGATTATACCTTATTTCACACTATGCCAATCATGCAATTTATCAAAGAAGATGATCCAATAAATCAGTTGGGACAGCTTAATAAGTTTGATGTTGATGATAGTGACCATGAGTGGAAAATAGTAAAGAAGCTAAAGACGTATAGTGAGGAGTTGCGAGAATGTTTTAAGGATTTGAAAATACTTGGGAGGAAAGAGTTTAAACATATATTGAGATTTCGTAAGCAAGCAAGAGACTTGTTAGGAATCGACAAGGAAGAGGAGAAACCTGAGATTGAAGTTGAGGAACTAAATGAAGAGCAAAAGATTGACAAGGAGTTGAACCAGATGTTGGAGAAGCAAAAGCAAAAGGCAAAGAGAGCCAAAAAGACTGCTAACGAGTTGAAGCAAAAGGAAATCATCAGAAATCAAATGCAGATGGTTACTGATATGAATATTGGTATAGATGCTGCGCAGATAGGTGCCGACTCGTTGTTTAACTTAAACACAGCTGAAAAATCGGGCCAACTAAGCAAACTAGCTGCCGGGAAAAAGGCAATGGTGTTTTCGGAGGAAGACCGCGCAAGAGATACAGAGATCCATTTCGACGAGCAAGATGCACAGAGTGAAGATGAAATTGATGAGTTAGAGGCGCAATTGGATGACATGTATGAGCAGTATCAAAACCGAAGAGCAGAAAGGGATGCAAAATATAAAGCAAAATTGGCCAGAGGAGGCGACGATGAAGCATGGGATGGTATAGAGTCGGGAGACGAGAAGGAGGATAACGATGAAGGAGATTATGAAGTAGATAGCCTGGACTCCGACGAAGACGATGATGAGCATATTAAGTTAATTGCCGAGGGCAAACAAAACGGAGAACTCACCAAGGCTGCAAGAAGTTTCTTTCAGTCAGATTCAATTTTCAGTGAACTCAATGATGAAGATTTGATTGAAGAATCGAAGCCAAAAGCAGAAAAGAAAATCGCAACACCAAGGAATGGAGCGATGAAAGCAACTGACTTTGACTCTGACTCCGACTCAGGGACTGATTCAGAATCTGACTTTGAAATTGTTCCCAATACAGGAGACAACGATGACGAGGAAGAGGAAGATGGTAGTGATGACGACCGTTTGTCAAATAAGGAGAGAGTAGATTTAACAACCGCAGAGGCAATGACTTTGGCACATAAAGTGGCTCTTGGTCAGATGTCAAAGAAAGATCTCATTGAAGAAGGTATCAACAGATATTCCTTCCGTGATAAGGAGAATCTTCCTGAATGGTTCATCGACGATGAGCACAAGCATTCAAAGTTGATCAAACCGATATCGAAGGAGGCTAGTTTGGCAATCAAGGAGAAACTCAAACAATTGAACGCTAGACCAATCAAGAAAGTATTGGAAGCCAAGGGAAGAAAGAAAATGAGGGCATTACGTCGTTTGGAGAAATTAAAGAAAAAGTCTGATTTAATCAATGAGGATAGTTCTAAATCCGAGTACGATAAGGCGGCGGAAATCTCCAAATTGATGCAAAAGGCTAAAAACAGTGGCAAGGATAAACGAAAGAAGATGACGGTTGTTGTTGCTAGGGGATCCAATAGAGGTCTCAGTGGAAGACCCAAGGGTATCAAGGGTAAGTATAAGATGGTTGATGGTGTTATGAAGAATGAACAGAGAGCATTGAAGAGAATTGCTAAAAAGCACAAGAAGTGAGTTGTATAAGTTAATAGATTTTGTATAAATGGTAACGGGTAGTGCATCGCGTTCAAAAGAATAAAACAAAAACAAAAGAAAAGGAAAGGAAAAAGGAAAAAAAAAATAAAAGGTAAAAGCATCCACCAGTCGTCATCTGATTCAAGCTTAGTCGATCATAGTTAATTACCGACACAATCACTACAACTGCTTCGCTCTTGTGTAATTGCGCAACGACATGTCAGATTCTACAACTTTAGAGAACGGTAACAACGCGTTGAAACGTAAGAATGAGGATTTGAATAATGATGCTGAAGAGACGGAGAACAATTCTGTTTCAAATAACAAAAGAGTTGCTCTAGACAGCGAGCAATTGGAGAAGGAGGAGGCTTCTAATGCGGTGATTGCTCCGAAAGTTGAAATATTTGGCAAAGACAAGCAGCTGGATGAAGAGCAAAAGGAAGAGCAAAACGAGGCGAATGATGAGCAAAAGCATGAAAAGGAAGAGCATGAGGATAATGAGCAGCATGCAGGTAATGAGAATGAGGATGCTGAATCAAAAGCCAATGCCGATGAGGAACCTGCAAAGGAATACAACGAAGAGCCCAAGAAAGTACTGCAAGACGATGTTGAAAAGTTTTTAGAAGAGGCCGCCCTTTTAACTAAGCTAAGCCAAGCACCACTGGAACCGCAATCACAACCACAGCCACAACCACAGCCACAGTCTGAAGAACCTACCCATACATCCAAGCCCATCTCAAGTCACAAAGAAAACGAGCTGGATCCATCTTTTGTATCCTTTAGGATGTATTGCCCCGTCAAAGAAGCGAGCACCATTGTGGGTAAACAGGGTGCTAAAATCAACCACTTGAGAGAGAAGGCTAATGTGAAAATACAAATAAGTGACAACTTGAAAGGAGTTCCAGAAAGAATTATAACAATCAAGGGTACGGCGGAAAATGTGGCAAAAGCGTTTGGCCTTGTTGTTAGAACAATCTTGGGCGAGGACGAAGACACACCTGCAAATATGAACAGTCAACAATACAACTTGAAGTTACTAGTTCCCAACGCCATTATTGGCTACGTAATTGGCAAACAGGGATTGAAATTTAGAGAGATTGAGGAAAATTCGGCAGCAAAGTTGAAAGCTGCTGAACAAACATTGCCATTTTCGACAGACAGAGTTCTTAGCGTGTTGGGAGTCGCTGATGCTATCCATATTGCTGTCTATTTCATAGCTGAAGTGGTGATTGAACACAAGGATATATTAAAAAAGAGTAAAATTGTTTTGTACAATCCTGCAAATCATCAACACGAGGAGAATCACTTTGGTGGACAGCAGCTGCAACAACAGTTGCAGCAGCCACGCTTTAATATGCAACAGCCAGGTTTACCCCCAAACCAATTTGGTAGCCCAATAGGATATCAAAAGCCGTTCCAGCCCGATGGCCCTCAGCCACAGCAACCATACAACTTTTCCATGATGTTCCAACCTTCAGTCCAGCCCCAACAGCAATATGGAATGCCGCAGCAAATGGCACCTCCACCTCTTTCTCAGGGTGTACCTCCTCAAAACCAATATACTGATGAGTACAACAATAAGATGATAGGGGATGTGATAATAAAAGAACCGGTCCTTGCCGGTGACAAGTACAATCAAGATGTCTTTGTGGCCAATTCACTGATTGGATCCGTTATAGGTAAAGGAGGTAACAATATCAAGCACATTAGGGAAAGCAGTGGGTGCTCATATGTTAAAATCGAACCAGATAGAGGACAATCGATTATGTTGGGAGGAGGCAGAGGTTTAACCAATATTAGAAGGCTAACCTTGACTGGATCATTGGAATCTTTTCAAAAGGCAATTTATTTGATCAATCAAAGGATAAATGCTGATAGGGAGAGGAATTCAAGATGATGTGTATAATAGTTCTGTAAAAGTATAGTCATGAATTCGTAATCTATAAACTCTAGAAATGTTTGACTCCTAGACTTGTAAGTAGCATGGTGAACCCACTAAACAAGCCTTCTCCAAGCACCAATCCACTGCTGAATATGATCATACTCGTTTTGCCTCTATTGCTTATGTTGTGCCAATTGTAAGCAATCAAGCCTCCAATGAATCTGGCAAGGGTAAAGTTGGGTGTATTGTAAATGCCAACTCCAACTGCAACCCCATTGGGGAGGTACACCAAATAAGGGTAATACCTCGACGTTGGTGACATTGTATTCTTTAAAAGTGAAATCATGCCAAATATGACACCAAACGCAATGGCAAACTCCATTGCCTTCGGGGGTAAGCCCTCGCCAGTGACCAAGCGTGAACAGTCAATCCATATAACAGCTGTAGGAATTCTAAACGTTTCGCTTGGAATTGTGTACACCGCCATATAAATCTGATACATGATGGAGCTGAGAAATACTGAGAAAATTGTGCCAATGATTTGAGCAATAAACTGGGCCTTTGGCGAGGCGCCAATTAAATGTCCCGTTTTAAGGTCTTGCATAAGGTCACCAGCCTGTTGCGCCCCTGCTTCTGCCACACCACCGGAAATCAAATTAATTAATATTTTCGCAGGATGATTTGATGGAATGATGAATGCAAAAATGAGTTGCGACAATTTGCCAATGCCACTCACGGGGTTAATATCTGACACACCCAAGGTTCTAGTGGCAAGAACACTGAATAACATAGCAAGAAGAATAGCAGTTAGTGACGCATAGATTGGAACGAGTTTCCCGAATATAATGCGCATGGTAACCACGCACAATATCGTGGACAACAAAGTGCCAATCAAAGCTACCTTATTTGACACGAGAAACTCTTTTGGTACTTCAAGTGGATCTAGTTTGCAAATGGTGGTTTTATTGCTTCCATCGTTATTTCCTTCTGTTTCGTCTAAAAGTGACTGCAGTAATTCCAAAGCTTGTGTATATGACTCTTGTCGGCTTCGGTAGTCTTTTACAAAGTCTCGCACAGATTTTGTACTCAATACTACAAATGACACCAATGAATCTGCCACCATGATACTCAAACTAACCCAAAGTATCCATCCCTGTCCTCCTGTCACCCAATCATTGATTGGCCCAGGGGCCCACTTCATATACTTTGACAATGGAGCTAAAACACCCCAACCTAAAATAGCACCAAACAACATGTACGAGACAGTAGGTAAACCCATGATGATCCCTTGACCAATATATGCTGGCGATGGTTGAAAGTCCCACAAGTATTGTTTTGATGCCCATGTGCCGAAAACAGGAACCTTTTTCAAAATTGGGAAAAAGAAGGATGCCAATGTGTAAATCGAGGAGACAACAAAGGTGTATGTCAAGGACCTCATGTTGGAGTTGTAATCTGAAGATTCAATAAGCTGAGTTGTTGATGTTTGCTGCCGCAAAGGTGATCCATTTGTAGTCTTGGTAACATCTTCCTCCTCTTCTTCGTTATCACTTTCATAAATTTCAGTGCCGTGCAAGACAGATATGAGTGTCGCTGTTGCACTCCCTGAGGGAAAGGGCAACTTTTCTTTGACAATGACTTGTTTCCGCAAGGGAATGGCAAAGAATACACCAAAAAGCCCCAACCCCATTGACCATATGATTAGCTCCTTAGTTGAAAAGGTGATACGTCTCCCCAAACCTGATTCGTCACTAGTCATAAACTTTTCAATGGCGGGTATAATTCCAACAAACCCGTAACATAGAGGCCCTGTGCCTACTGCCACTGCAATACTCTGTATGTATACATTCTCCACGTCGGTAAAATTCTGTGACAAAGGGGTTAACTTAAACACGGCAAATCCAAGCAATGCTGCTGGTAACGACATCATCGATACCCAACCTGTTTGCAAGCCGAATTGAAAATTCGATATAAGAATTACCGATCCAATGAGTAATCCAACTATGGTAGCCCGAAGGGTGACTTGAGGTAGCCCTAGTTTGGTCAAATAGCCTGTACGTGGCGGTAACTGTGGAGGAGGTGGTGGTTCACTGATATTAGGTTCTTCAGGCATTGCAGTATGGATTTTTCTGACTGGAAAGAAGAAGTGTTGACTAGATATTGGATAAACGCTGATAAGCATTTGTAAGCAAGATTTCGCGGAGAAAGGATTTTTTTTTTTTCTTTTCTTTTTTTTTTGGTTGTTGAATTGGCAACCTCAGCATGGCGATGGGTAGTAGAATTTCAAATAAGCGGCTACTACGGAGAGGCAATATTCACCTCTTTGTTCTGTTAAAATTGAAGATTATGGCTTTGCTAACTTGTGGGAGGTAGAGCTCACTCGTGGGAACTCGCGTATAGATTGATTCATTTTACTTCCGCATTAGGAAGTTTTTTCCCGAAGCGAAACAAGCAAGTCAATGCTTCAAAAAAAGCCAGCAGAAGATCTGGATAAGCAAAGGGGAATCATAAATAGGACATAGCTGTTGCTATGAAACATGTTAGTAGTATCAAAAAAGGTAGCCATTCAGTCAATTAGCATCATTTACAAAGATTCCTTATCGTGAGCGTCTTTTCTTTCGATACACTATTTAACCTACAACTCCCACGCTTTGATCTCGTCGACATCTCTGTCATTCTCTTCCAAGTAACCAACATCAATGCTGTTAATGCTTGCTTCGTTGCAAAGAATACACTCTTTGCATAGCATATCATCAATCTCAGACTTTAACTCTTGCTGATCCTTGTCCTTATTTCTGATAAAATTTTGATACAATTTTTTAAAGTTGTAGTTTGCCTTTGATTTAAGATTGTACCGAACTAAACACTCTTTGTGGAACCCATGCTGGCAGTTGTCAAAAAAGATAAACTTCTTTGTTGCTAGCAAGTTATCGCATAGGTAGCACGTTGATTGAGGCTTTATAACCGAGTAATGCTCTGACCTCTTTTGAGTTTCATCCTGGGCCTCTTGTTTCAAAGTAGTGAGCAAAGAATGGTTTTCCTGGATTCTCATATTTATATCTTGCAAGCTCCTTTTGTATTCATTAAGCGAGTCCACAATCTCATCTTTGAAGTTGTTAATCATGACAGTTTCGGGGAAAAGTGGCAACAAGTCTTTCAAGCCGAGGGGAGAGTTTCTTTGTATGTAGGATAAAGCTGCATTCAACTTGTTGGAGGAGTTGTCCACCTCCTCGAGTCCTAGTTGTTTACCCTCGCATGTACGACTGATGAGATGCCTTGCGAATGTAAGCCACAAGTGTCTCCTTGTGTTGTAGCTTTCCTTTTCCAACTTGTTGTCATCCTTGGGCTGGTCGCTGTCTTCGACAATCTCTTCATACTTTCCAAGCACAAGTTCTCCGAGCTCTATGGCATTATTTTTTAGCGACACTTCCAAGGCCTGCTCAAACAAGCCCATATCAATGTAAATCAAAATTGCAGGATGAACTTTATGATGGAGCAAGCATAGTCTTTGGACAAAGTTTTGGTCGTACGCTGTCTCGTGATTGATAAACTTTATTATCAAGTGGTTTGCGTCTTCGTGATGCGTAATCAAAAGCGACAAGTAATAGTTGTTTAATTGTTTGCTCTTGTACCCCTTATCATGCACCTTCAGTAGAAACTTGATGGCCACATTTTGATTCAAAGGCAGTTTACGGTTCTCCTCACAGTATGAAAGCACAGCTGGGAGTAGCTTTTCATACTCCAAGTCAAACTTGAGCCAGGTTTCGATAATTCTGGAGTGGTTTAATAAGAATGCTGTGGAATGTGTGTAAACTTCGTCTACATTGTTTGAATAAAGCTTGATGAGTGCCTTTTCAGCAAGCTGCCAGTTTTTACCCGCTATGTGGTAATTTAGCACAAAGTGGTAGTCCTCGATTGTTTCAGCATAAAAGAGCGCTTTTTTCCCACTTAGAATATTGTAGATCGACCTGTCAAGCAACTTGTGATTTTTCTTTATAAAGTCGTTGAAGCGTTCATCGTTGGTCCGAACCATCAACTCAACTATCCACGTCGACAACACAACCGTTCTGACTTTATTTTTCTTGTTTAAGGCATACTTTACCAACAAGTAATCAATCAACAAGCCGATTGCATGTGACAGATTCAACATTAAACATACTTTTTCAAAAGGTTCTGTCAGTCTTGCTAGTATTCCAATTCCCCTTTTCTGCAAGTTTACTAGCTCCTTATCGTGCAGTTCAAGTCCAAAGCCACCTCTTTGCAAATAATCATATCCCTGTTTGATAAAGACTAGATCTCTTTTAAAAAAGTTCTCTTCGCTATCTTCGAGACAATTCAACGCTTCCTCGAATTTGCTCATCTTGTAATAGTCATACCATACTAAGCTGTTTTCGTTGGATATAATGATCTCGTAGATTGAATTCTTGGTATATAGCCAGTATGAGTTAGTGTCGCTGGCAATTCCCTGTATTTCTTCTTCAACGTCTAATACCTTTGAATCTTGGTTGAGTTTGTTGTATATAAATATTTGCTTCCCATGGTAGCCAATTAGATGATGAGGTGTTAGAATAATGTCATCAATCGTATCCTTCAACGTGGTAAACTGTATCTCGTCATCGTTTGTTGTGACTTCCTTTCCAATGTAAACAAACTTGTTTCCGCTGGTGGTCAATAACCACTTGTTGCTAATGCCAACACTTTTCACAACCGGCTGTGTTTTGAACACTTTTGTCAATTCTGAAAATGACGTGTCAAAACAGGACCAGGTGTAGACTGCGTCTTTGGCTATTATATTTATCAATGACTGATTCTCGGTAATGGATATCCCACGAACCTGTGAATCGACTGTATGCACGTGTTTTAGATGTTGAATATCGCTCTTTTTAGCATCGTCATGAGGTTTGATGGATGACAAGTAAATATACCCCGTCTTTGTAGCCATTATAATGGTGTTTGATAATGTGAATGCAAGCGATTCAACCTCCAATCCTTTGAGCTTTGCCAATGGCTTGAATGATTTGTACGATTTGTATAGGTAAAAGTATTGTTGGTCAATTCGTATGACAAGTTGTTGTCCTAAAGTATCTGCCCAGGCGGCAAAAGTACCTCCCTTTTGCGGCATGCTGAATTTCATCAACTTTGACGGATTATTTAGATCAATCTTGTACAATACATCTCCAACGAATAGAAACATCTGACTGTTGGCTACTAGGAGTTTGTTTAATGCATGGTGCAATTCGAACTGCAATTGGACTGGTTTGATTTCAAACAGTGGCTTTTGCAAATTATTGTATATCGATATTTGCTGCTGATCCAAGGAGTGAGCAGTATACGTTGAAGGGCTGATTGATCCATTCACTGACGGCGCAAGCTTCTCTGTAAGCTTCTCTGTACGTTTTGAACCGTTCATGGGGTTGGTTCTGTCGATTGGAGGGGAGAAAATTTTGAGCTACCAAAATATAAAATAGAAATAGTCGGAATGGGATAGGTAGGGGTTGGGAAGGTACTACTTTCAAGAAGGAGCTTCAAGGAGGTTAGAGGGACATCTAGGAGATAAGAGGTATATAATTGATAAGAAGAAGGCCACATCGCCAGAGCCATTTCAATGTTTGGTGAATCGTGACTTGCTGTGCCACAATTTTTGAAATGCATGACTACAGACCCATTTACAGACATAGTTCCTCTGAAAACAAAACTCCTGCTATCAAATCTTCAAAAGAACCTCTAAACAAGCGATACCACGTTTTACCTTCTTGTTCGTTAATCTGTGGTTTGCTCCCCCCCTCCCCTATCTTTGCCACCCATTTTTACAATTTTTCTTTTTTTTTTTTCTTTTTCCCTCGAGGAAAAATACAAAAAACAAAAAGCTGTTTTCGGAGCTAAGCTTGCTATCCACAACAAAGGTACCAACGATATGAACGTCTTAAAATTGCAAAAGAAGTACCCAGTATTACAGCAGTCAGACCTTTTCAATATAATTGAAGATTTCAGAGCAATTGACTTGGAAGACAAAGGTTGGGTAGAAAAGAAGGATGTGATTAACAATGTGAGCAAACAAGGAGAGTATTCGTATGACGAAACAAGAGAGACATTGAAACATGTTGATGTAGATGCATCGGGGCATGTCGAGTTAGACGATTACGTAGCATTGATTGCCAAGTTGAAGGAATCAAAAGAAGGTGTTGCAGAAACCCCGCAATTGAACAAAAAAGCTGCTCCTCCAATCCCCAGTGCAAGTTCGAAAAACAAGACTTATATTGAAGGTAAAACTTCAGGAACCACCCACACAATCAATGACGAAGAGCGTACTGAGTTTACCAGACACATCAATTCGGTTTTGTTGGGTGATTCCGAAGTCGGAGATAGGTTGCCTTTTGATACGGAAACTTTCCAAGTTTTTGATGAATGTAGAGATGGATTGGTGTTGTGTAAATTGATCAACGATTCGGTGCCAGATACGATTGATACCAGAGTATTGAACTTGCCAAAGGGCAAGAAACAGTTGAACAATTTCCAAATGTCGGAAAACGCGAATATTGTCATCAATTCTGCAAAGGCAATTGGGTGTGTTGTGGTCAACGTTCATTCAGAGGACATCATTGACGGTAAGGAGCACTTGATTTTAGGTTTGATTTGGCAAATTATCAGACGCGGATTGTTGAGTAAGGTGGACATAAAATACCATCCTGAATTGTACCGTTTATTGGAAGACGACGAGACTTTGGAACAATTTTTGAGACTCCCCCCTGAACAAATTCTTTTACGTTGGTTTAATTACCATTTAAAGAATGCAGGTACCAGCAGAAGAGTGTCAAATTTTGGTAAAGATGTCAGCGATGGTGAAAACTACACCTACTTGTTGAATCAGTTGAAGCCCGATGTTTGCGATTTGTCCCCGTTAAAGACTAACGATTTGCTTACTCGTGCTGAGCAGGTTTTGGACAATGCTGACAAGATTGATTGCCGTAAATACTTGACTCCAAAGTCGTTGTGTTCAGGAAATCCAAAGTTGAACTTGGCTTTTGTAGCTAACTTGTTCAACACTCATCCAGGATTGCAGCCCATTGAGGAACACGAAAAAGTTGAAATCGAAGAGTTTGACGCGGAGGGAGAGCGTGAGGCTAGAGTATTTACATTGTGGCTCAACTCTTTGGACGTTGATCCACTGGTTGTTTCATTGTTTGAGGACTTAAAGGATGGTTTGATCTTGTTGCAGGCTTTTGACAAAGTGTTGCCTGGAAGTGTTTCATTCAAGCACGTTAACAAAAAGCCAGCCAATGGCGAGGTTTCCCGATTCAAGGCGTTGGAAAATACAAACTATGCGGTGGAAATAGGGAAAGCCAATGGGTTTTCGCTAGTTGGTATAGAAGGATCCGACATTGTTGATGGAAATAGGTTGTTGGACCTAGGTCTTGTTTGGCAATTGATGAGAAGAAACATCGTCAACACCTTGGCCGAGCTAGGCAAGGGTGGCCAATTGACTGATGCAGATATTTTGAAATGGGCCAACCTGCAAGTCACTAAAGGAGGCAAGACATCTCAAATCAGATCCTTTAAGGATTCTTCCTTGTCGACAGGGTTGTACTTGTTGGACGTGTTGAATGGTATGAAACCGGGCTATGTTGATTACGACTTGGTCTACGAAGGAAAGACAGAAGAGGAAAGGTATGCCAATGCCAAGTTGGCAATCTCAATTGCTAGAAAGTTGGGTGCGTTGATCTGGTTGGTTCCTGAGGATATAAACGAGGTTAGAAGCAGGTTGATTTTATCTTTTGTAGGAAGTTTGATGGCTGTGGAGAGTAAGTAAATACAAAATGTGCGACTTTAAAGAAAAGTAAAAAATTTAGGTGTAGAAAAATCCAGTAAAGCAGAGATACCCACCACCACCACCACCACCCACAATGATGAATTTTCTCAGAAAACGGAGATCCTCCAACTCATCTGAAGACTCTGTCGAAGAATCTCAGATTAGAAAGTCACGTAAGCCACCAAATACAGCTTTTCGTCAACAGAGATTGAAAGCATGGCAGCCGTTGTTAACTCCAAAATCAGTGATTCCCTTTCTTGTTTTGTTGGCAGTGATTTTTGCTCCTTTAGGTATAGCCATCATCTACACCACGTATAATGTGCAGGAGTTGAACATAGATTACTCGCATTGCAGCGACCAGACGAGTAGTTTTACCTCGATTCCCGGAAAGTACACTGGCTTCCACTTTAAGGAGAGCACTAAACCCGAGTTTAAATGGAAAGTGGATGGTTCGCAGTGTGTTATCCAGTTCAACGTGCCAGATTTGAAGCCTCCGCTTTACTTGTACTACAAATTGACCAACTTTTACCAAAACCATAGAAAGTATGTGGAGAGTTATGACTTGGATCAGTTGGCAGGAAAAAGCCTATCAAGTGATGATGTTACCGACAATTGTAAACCTTTGAAACATAGAGACTACAATGGAGAGCTGAGGCTAGTGTACCCCTGCGGGTTGATTGCAAACTCCTACTTTAATGATTCTATTTCGTCGCCTGTTTTGTTGAATGCACGTAATGGAGAGAACAACGAAACTTATACCTTTACCGATAAAGACATTTCCTGGGCCTCAGATCGCAAGCACAAGTTTAAAAAGACCAGTTATAAGCCTAGCGATGTTGTGCCTCCACCTAATTGGGACACAATGTACCCTGATGGCTACACAGAGGAAAACATGCCGGACCTACTGCAGATGGAGCATCTACAAAACTGGATGAGGACGGCGGCGTTGCCCAATTTCTACAAATTGTATGGCAAGAATACTACATCGACCATGTCGTCTGGTACCTATCAAATAACTGTTGACTTGAACTACCCAGTGGAGATTTTTGGAGGTAGCAAGAGTATTGTCATCACCACCAACTCCATTTTCGGCGGCAGAAATGTCAGCTTGGGAGTGGTGTATATAATTGTTGCTGTAGTGTCGCTCGTGTTGGGTATAGGGTTCTTGTTGCAATTCTTGATCAACCCTAGGCGAGTGGGCCATGATTACTTGCAACAGAACTACCGAGACCAGTTGTAAATTGTGTGTAGAAACGAAGGAAAAAAAAATTTTTGGAAGAAAATGTTGAACGTCTACTTTGTAATCCACAATGATGAACGTGAATCCGCATCTATACACATCATCGCCTCAGATTTCTCAGTTGCAGATACTTCAAAGGCAGCAGCTACTACAGGAACAGGGCACCCCGTTATCGCAGCAACAACATTTAACAAATGGTACGGGGTTGAGTGCCAATCCGGTGTTGCAACAGTTACAGCTTCAACAATTGCAACAGCAACAGCAACAGCAGCAACAACAGCAACAACAGCAGCAGCAGCAACAACAACAACAGCAACAACAGCAACTTGCAATTCCAATAATCAAGGAGGTGTGGGCTCACAACCTTGAGTACGAGTTTAACAACTTGCGCAAGTTTATCAACGACAAGAGTGCAACGATATACGCTGCCATACATCAGGAGACACCCGGCATTGTTGCGAGGGCAATTGGATCGTTCAAGACAAACACCGACTACCATTTCCAAACAATAAGGTGTAACTCTGACTTGTTGAATCTAATACAATTTAGTATCTGTTTTAGTAAAGACGGGGGCAACCCTGTAATTTGGCAGTTTAACTTTGCATACGACTTGACCAAGGAGATGTACAGTGAGGAACATTTGGCCATGTTGGCACAGCAATCGTCGATAAACTTCTCAGCACACATGTCTCGCGGAATAAAGCATTTCGAGTTTGCCGAATTGTTGATTGATAGTGGGTTGTTACTAGACAACTCTATCAACTGGGTATCCTACCACGCAGGGTATGACTTGGGCTTTCTTATAAGCTTGCTAATGAACGACAGTCTTCCTGTGGATGAGCAAGAGTTCCACTGGTGGTGTGACAAGTATTTCCCTAACTTTTACGATTTAAAGTACATCGGTAACCAAGTTTTAAGCTCTGACGATAAGATGAATAAGCCGTCGATTGAGTATTTGGCAGAGGAGTTGCACTTGCTACCAATATCTCCCAGTATAAGGCAACTTTTTGGCAATGCTGGCCAACCACTGCAACACCCTACATCGACACTACACGCATATTTATCCATGGAGTGTTTTAAAGAGTTGTTGAGACAATCAGTTGACCCAACGAGGTTTAAAGGGTACATCTGGGGATTGGGAAAGGAGTAGATAGAGTAATGAAAACATTTAGCGTGTCACGTGTGTCACTCCTCTTTTTTTTTTCTTTTCTTTTTTTTCTTTCTCTTCTCTTCTCTTCTCTTTATCTTTTTATCAAAACTCATCGCAGTATAATTTTTAACTACAATTCATCACATCAACAATCAATAATGGGAACTCAAAAGAAGGAAAAGCAGAGAAGGATCAGACAGAATGATACCAAGGATGGTAACCTCCGTGTTAAAGGTGAAAACTTTTACCGTGATGCCAAGAAAGTGAAAAAGCTTAGCATGTACAAACAAGGGAGAGCCGTTCGTAATGCAAAGGGAGACATAATACAGGCTGCTGATCTTCAGAGCACAGATGTGCCTACGGCAAGGGTTGACCCCAACAGGAAGTGGTTTGGAAACACTAGAGTCATAGCTCAGGATGCATTGTCGCATTTCAGAGAAGCCATGGGAGACAAGAAAGACGATTCGTACCAGGTGCTTCTAAAGAGAAACAAACTTCCCATGTCGCTACTTGATCAAGACAAGACCGAAAGCCCAACCGCAAAGATTGTCGAGACTGAATCCTTTGCATCTACGTTTGGACCCAAGCAGCAACGTAAAAAGCCCAGAATTGCGGCGTCGTCATTGGAAGATTTAATGTCCACAGCTGAAAAGGATTCCACTACTTACGATGAAAAGATTGAGCTTGACCAGACGTTGGGTTTGATGGGAGATTCTGTTTTGGATAAGGATGATTTCACTCAGGAGGCTAAGGAGGCCATTTTCAACAAGGGACAAAGTAAGAGAATCTGGAATGAGTTGTACAAAGTCATTGACCTGAGTGATGTTATTTTACAAGTTTTAGATGCTAGGAACCCATTGGGTACCAGATGTGAAAGAATTGAAAAGTACATCAAGCAGGAGTGTCCTCATAAGCATCTTGTATTTGTGGTGAACAAGACCGATTTGGTCCCTACGTGGGTAGCCGTATGTATATCACCCAACTTGATTTTACCAAACAAACTTTACTAACGCATAATTTAGGCAGCTTGGATGAAACACTTGTCAAACTCGTACCCCACCATTGCTTTCCATGCGTCAATCAAAAACAGTTTTGGTAAGGGATCCTTGATCCTGCTTCTTAGACAGTTTGCAACCTTGCACAAGGACAGAAAGCTGATCAACGTAGGTGTCATTGGATTTCCAAATACTGGTAAAAGCTCTATTATAAACACGATTGTTGGGAAAAAGGCATGTGTTGTTGCTCCTATACCTGGGGCTACAAAGGTTTGGCAATATGTCAAGGTGACCTCGTCTATAAATATTATTGACTCACCAGGAGTTGTACCGTCGGAATCTAATGACTCCGATGCCGATCTTTTGCTACGTGGTGTGGTTAGAGTTGAAAAAGTCAAGGCTCCCGAACAGTACTTGTCAGAGATTCTAAAGATTGTTCCTAAAAAGTACATTGCCAGAACCTACGGACTCAAGGAGTCAGAATGCGGGGAAAACTTGTTGGAGACGCTCGCAGTGAAAAGCGGTCGTTTGTTGAAAGGTGGTGAGGCAGATGAGAGTTCTGTCGCAAGGAAAATTATTGAAGATTTTATTCGTGGTAAGCTTCCTTGGTTTTTAGCACCACCGCAGGACGAAGAGGTCCGCACAGGTGAAGACAAGAAAGCTGGATATAAAAAGAGGAAAGCTGAGGATTGAATGCATGTTTAGGAGCTGCTAGTCGCCTGTTTAATTCTTTGTAGTGCATTTTTGACCTCTCCGCTTATATCCATCTTGTCCAATTCCGAAGTTTGAAAACTGGTGTCAATTGCATTCAACTTTGCAAGCAAATCTTTTTCAAGGTTGGTCTGGTCGGATTCTAAAATCTTTTCCTCTATAGTGACGTTGTTTATATCTTGCAAATCCTCGCTCTTCACGCCAAAGTCGCCTGCTGTTGTACTGCCAAGCAACCCGTCATTCATCTTTTCCCAGTCCCTCTCCAACTCGTCTCGTTGCAAATTCTTTGCTTCTAAATATTCTTTGAATAGTTTACGTTTAGCCAATGTAGCTTCGATTTTCGTATGCAATTGCTTTTTGAATAAAGGTGAGTCGGCATTTTCGACTTTGACGCTTAGCAAAACAGTTTGCTCATTTTCAAACTTCAATCTCACTAGCGTGAGGAATCGCTCAATCCACACAATTAGTTTGTAAAATATTTTCTCGTCATCATTGACATAGACATCACGGATAAAGCTCCAAAGCACCTCCTCGTGGTTATCTAAAACTGTCTTGATTCTTTGGTAAATTTCAGTCGAGTTTAAATGGTGGTTGTGCTGTAAGGACGAGAGCGTTTTGAGCATATCGTCGTTCAATCCCTCGAGAGCAGCAAATGCGATATGCACGTTAGATTTGGCAAACACTCTAATCAATGGAGTGTAAAAGTAATCGACCGTGCTTTTTATCAAATTAATGAGTTCAGGCTGTTTCCAAAGCTGCTTGAATAGAAGCTTGTCGCGAGTACGAATCTTGAGGAACCAGTATTGCTTCAAATCGAGATATAATGTCGTATCTCCTTCGCCCCTGTATGATGCCAAAATGCTTTCCAATTTTTCATCTGGAGGGGGGGATATAAGGTTCGTCGACAACGTTGTAATTACTAAATTATCACTAGCCTGTTGTCTTATTGCAGCCATTTCCGCATTCGGCAAATTGACATAGTTGTCCATCCGCTCCATGTAAAGCTCATATCCTTGTAGCTTTTCTCCCAAAGTGCCTAGCTCTTTTCCGAAACCATTCAAATCCTCATTCAACAACATGATGAGTATCAAAGAGAACAAGTTCCTGGCTCCTGTTTTTTTCGAATCCTCTGTCAACTGTTTATTCCATGAGGGAAGACGAGGGATGTTCACAAATAGCAAATCAACGATTCGTGAAACCATCTTCATTGGATTTGTAAATCGTAAAATTGCGTATATCAAGCTGTAGGGAAACAATCTGTGAAACTTTTTCGTTTGCTTCAATATTGCATATGAGTTATCCAGACCCAAAAAGGTCTGGTAGACTATGGCTGCTAGTTGGAGCTTACACCAGTCGTTGAAAGTTCTTAAAAGGGGCGATGCCTCTCTGATGCTCCTTAAAGATCCAATTTCATTGAAAAGCCTCATTATGGCATCATCCTCCCTGGTCATTGACTGTTTGAGCTCTTCAAAGTTGAGACTCAACTCCTGCATCACCTTTGCGGTTTGGTCGTGAAATTCAATTTGAGTTCGCAAAATGCTCATCTCATGATTGATTCTTTTCTTGTAGTCCTCTTCATCATCGGCATTCATAGTCGTCTCGTTGGAAGCTAAAAAGTGTCTGAAAGCCACCGACCTCACCACATCGGCTTTTTTGATCAACTCTCTGAGCCAGCTTCTAAACCCCATTCTACTCACCTCAAGACTGTTTTCGTCATCTTTAGGCTTGGGCGGTAATCTAATCTGCATTGTCAGCATTATTCCCGGCAACTCCTTCTTTAAATCGTGATTTAGATTAACCAATTGTTGATAGCTTTGTGAGATAAAGGTGGTCTTTAATGGGTCACTCTTTACAACCTGGATGACGAACTCATAATGATGGCTGGATCTGAAAAACCACGATTGCTCATGTTCAAATCTCCTCAATGCAACAATGTTGATGTAGATACCGTTTACAAACTTCATTCGGTCATACTGATTCAACCCAATCACAGTTATGTTCTTTTTCTTGTGGAAATCAAACTTGTCTAGCTTGGCGGTGTCTGAAGCCTTTAAATGCGGTTCCGCGAGGTACTCCATCTCATTGCCCATAAGGAATACCGAGTTGTAAAACACCAACAATCCACTGAGAAGCTTTTTATTTGCCTGGCTCCGCTTGGTAACTCCGTTTCTTTCGTCCGAAGTGCTAAATTGCTTAGAGTTGAAGTTTTCTACAAACTTGAACACATCATGCCAAAACTGTTGTTGCTGTTTCTCAGTATTGTTTGCAATAAATGGGAAGGTGGACACGTACTCTTGAAAGAAGAATGAAAGTAGTGGGAGCTTTTCCGAGTCGTTAACGAGTGACATGTCCTTCCACATCAACTTCAACTCTTTTTGCAATTGGTTCTCGAGGAGGAACTTCTTTAAAAAGTGATTTTCTAGGGGATCCATTGACTGTTTGCTTTAGTATAAAAAGTGAGTGATGGGGCTATCTTCAAAGTGGCTAGCATATGAGTAGAATCTAAGATGTATGTGTGTGAATTTTGATGGTGGATTCTCACAATCGAGGCTGAAGCGAAAAATTAAAAACAGACACAAAAGTGAGTTGCTCTCGCCTTTTAGTTAATTTAAAAAGTTGCTGCAAAAGCACAGCCTAATCCCCAGGTTACAATTACAAAGAGTAGATGGGGTATAGCAAAGTCACTAGTTTGGAAACTAGCTTTATATGTCATACATAGTCCCTTGTCAAGTAAACTATTAATCACATGGTAGCGCTGAACATCACTATCAGAAGTTTCTAATCAAACACTAAAGCCATAATTCCTATCGTTTGCAGCCTTTTCATAAGGCTCCTCTCATCGTTTTAATAAAACCAAAATTATCTACCAAATTGGAAACTCCCTTGGACACGCGATACCTGTCGCAAAAAGGAAAAAGAAGAAGACCACACGTGGGAAAGAGTTCAGCCAAAATGCCAAGATAAGTCGGAGACAAGGAAAAAAAAAAAGAAAAATATTTTTTATCCCACTGCGTATCAAAGGTTAGCCGTACTGAGAGAGATAAAGGAAAAAAATTTTCCATGAAAACCTCTTCACTTCAACTGCCTTAAACACTAGCACAGTCTAAAACAAGGTTTTTATCGTCAGCTTTAATCGTTAACTGAGAGAAGCTGCTACTGAGTATAAGTGAAAATAAAGTCGTTAAGTTTTGAAGAAAAGAAAAGTCAACATGAACAGACAACTTGTGAAAAAGATGAAGTTCAAAGCTGTGAAGAACAATATAGACTCACAATTGACGAATTAGTTAAAGAATTGAACACTGATGCATCAAATGGATTATCAGATGTAGAGGCCAAGGCAAGGCTTGACAAGTATGGCGCCAATAATCTTGGAGAAGAGGATTCCATATCCTACACCAAAATTTTGGCCCACCAAGTTTTCAACGCCATGATTTTGGTCTTGTTTATCAGTATGATTATTGCCCTTGCTATTAGAGATTGGATTTCTGGTGGTGTTATTGGATTTGTTGTTGGTATCAATATTGTTGTTGGGTTTGTCCAAGAAGTTAAAGCTGAGAAAACCATGGGCTCGTTGCGTAACTTATCATCACCAACAGCAAGAGTCACGAGAAATGGAGATGATATCACTATTCCAGCTGAAGATGTTGTTCCAGGAGACGTTGTCCATGTCAAAGTTGGTGATACTGTGCCTGCTGATTTGAGATTGTTTGATGCTATGAATTTGGAAACTGATGAGGCGCTATTGACAGGTGAGTCGTTGCCAGTGCAAAAGGATCCGACAGCTATTTATGATGACTACTCAGTGCCTATACCCGTTGGTGACAGATTAAACTTGGTTTATTCGTCATCAGTTGTTTCCAAAGGTAGAGGTTCTGGTATTGCTTATGCAACTGGACTAAACACTGAAATTGGCCAAATTGCGAAGTCGTTGAGAGGTGACACTGGGTTGATCAGAAGAGTTGACAAATCAAATGGTAAACCAAGGAAAAGAGAATATGGTCGTGCTTGTGCTGGAACTGTTTATGATATTGTGGGAAACATTCTTGGTGTAACTGTGGGAACGCCATTGCAAAAGAAGCTCTCCTGGTTGGCAATTTTCTTGTTTTGGGTGGCGGTTGTGTTTGCCATTGTTGTATTGGGATCGCAAAAGATGAATGTTACCCGAAACGTGGCCGTTTACGCTATTTGTGTTGCGTTGTCAATGATCCCGTCGTCGTTGATTGTGGTTTTGACCATCACAATGGCTATCGGGGCTCAAGTTATGGTTTCGAAAAATGTCATTGTGAGAAAGTTGGATTCTTTGGAGGCGTTAGGAGGTATAAATGACATTTGCTCCGACAAGACGGGTACTTTAACTCAAGGCAAAATGATTGCCAAAAAGGTTTGGTTGCCAAATGTTGGTACATTGGAAGTGCAAAATTCAAACGAGCCGTATAACCCAACTGAAGGAGTAGTGAGATATGCGCCGTATTCACCGCTTTATATCAAGCAGACTGACGAGGAGATTGACTTTAAGAAGCCATATCCAGATCCTATGCCACAAAGCATGCACAACTGGTTAATGACTGCTACTTTGGCAAATATTGCCACTGTCAATCAAAGCAAAGATGAAGAACTGGGCGAAGTTGTTTGGAAGGCCCATGGAGATGCTACTGAAATTGCCATCCAGGTGTTCACCTCAAGGTTAGATTACGCCAGGAAGTCATTGGTTGATGGGTTTGAGCATATTGCTGAGTTCCCCTTTGATTCATCAATTAAAAGAATGTCGTCAATTTACAAGCATAAAGACTCGGGTGAAGCTAGAGTTTACACTAAAGGTGCTGTGGAAAGAGTTGTGCAATTGTGCACCACCTGGTATGGTGAGGGGAGTGATGACGCAAAGGAGGTGAAGAAATTGACCGACGTTGATAAACAAACCATTGAGGGGAACATGGCGGCATTATCGTCCCAAGGTTTAAGAGTATTGGCATTTGCCACTAGAACTATCGATGACGGTTTCGATGACCGTGAAAATGTCGAATCTAATTTAACTTTCCAAGGTCTTATTGGTATTTATGATCCCCCAAGAGAAGAAACTGCTGGTTCTGTCAAGTTATGTCACAAGGCGGGTATCAACGTTCACATGCTTACCGGTGATCATCCAGGTACAGCCAAAGCCATTGCCCAAGAGGTGGGAATCTTGCCTCATAACTTGTACCACTACTCAGAAGACGTTGTTAAAGTGATGGTTATGACTGCCAATGAATTTGACGCTTTATCCGATGACGAAATTGACAACTTGCCCGTGTTGCCATTAGTGATTGCCCGTTGCGCCCCGCAAACTAAGGTGCGTATGATTGATGCATTGCACAGAAGAAAGAGATTTGTGGCAATGACTGGTGACGGTGTCAACGACTCACCATCGTTGAAGAAAGCAGATGTTGGTATTGCTATGGGCATGAATGGCTCTGATGTTGCCAAGGATGCGTCGGACATTATTCTAACAGACGACAACTTTGCCTCAATACTAAACGCCATTGAAGAAGGAAGAAGAATGTCGTTAAACATTCAGAAGTTTGTTTTGCAGTTGTTGGCCGAAAATGTTGCCCAAGCTATCTACTTGATGGTTGGGCTAGTGTTTATGGATAACGACGGATTCTCGGTGTTTCCACTCGCGCCGGTTGAAGTGTTGTGGATAATTGTGGTTACATCGTGTTTCCCGGCAATGGGATTGGGTCAAGAAAAGGCCCAATCTGATATCTTGGACTTGCCTCCTAGTAACACAATCTTTACATGGGAAGTGATTATTGACATGTTTGCTTACGGTATCTGGATGGCTGCTTGTTGTCTCGCTGCGTTTGTTGTGATCCTATATGGCAAGGGCAATGGAGAATTGGGATCCGATTGTAACACCGGATCCGGTGAAATGTGCAAGTTGGTTTTCCAAAGTCGTTCTGGAGCATTTGCTGCGTTTACGTGGTGTGCTTTGTTGCTAGCCTGGGAATGTATACACTTGAGACGCTCATTCTTCCATATGCATCCAGATTCAGAGAAACCATGGTGGTCGCAGTTGGCCTCTGATTTATGGGAGAACCAATTTCTTTTCTGGTCCATTGTATTTGGTTTTGCAACCGTGTTTCCCTTGGTGTACATTCCAGTCATTAACAACAAGGTGTTTTTGCATGGCCCCATTGGATACGAGTGGGGGGTTGCCGTTGCTTTCACTGTCGCGTTCCTTATAGGAGCCGAGGTTTGGAAACTGATCAAGCGCGTTTTCTTTAGAGCTCAGTCACGTAGTGGTGACGATGCAGCAACCGGTGACGTGTTTGAAAAGTATGCCTCGTTTAGCAAGGATAACACTTTGGTCTGAGGTACTTTTATTTTGTTTTGTTTTGCTTTGTTTTGTTTTGCTTTGTTTTGTTTTGCTTTGTTTTGTTTTGTTTTGCTTTGTTTTGTTTAGTGGAGGTTTTTAAGGGTTCAAGTCCCTTCTTATCCATGAGGGTTTTCCTACCACAGTTTCTTAGTATAGTTTGTTATCTCTTTTTATATAGCTATTTAATATTATATATGTTAACGTCAATTATGCCCCTGATTGCTCAGACCTTCGACCGGCCCTTCTTCATCATCATTTGGCAAATTTCTAGCGTAACCTTTTATCAATACCTCTTTTAGTCTCTCGATATCATTTTCTTTCAATAATATGTCCTCTGAGATTTGGAGCTTGAGAAATATATAGGCAAAAGCACTGATATTACCAGTGTCGTAATTGAAGGTTTCAATTGCAAAAGCTGGTTTTACTCCATGCGAATTAAGTTCCCATTCACGAAATTTCACTTTGATGATTGAACTGGTGGTAATGATGAAGCAATTTTTGGTCTTCATACCTATCATACATGCAACCACTTGGGTAAACACAGATGAATGCAAAGCCTTCTTTTTGTGTAAGAAACGGTCAAGCCTTTGTAGCTTGTATTCAAAGAACTGCTGTGAGTCGTTTTTCCAAATCCCGAGGTCAGTTCTAAAGAACTTCTTGCCTATAATTGGTAACTTAACCTCGGGTTCAAATTCAAAACCAGAAATCCTTAATAAAGGGATTAAATAGTTGTTTAAAACATAATGGGACATTTTTGTTTCCAAGTTGATAGGAAATCCCACCACTGGAATCTGAACGCATTGGCAATCCTTGTTTGTAAAGAATGCTCTTAAATACAATTCTCCAAAACTGAATCCTGGTTCATTCACCTCCTTACAGCAAATTTTACAAGTTTTTTGATTCATAACATTGTAAGCCGCCTTGTTGGGGACCATTGAACTCGGTAATTCCTTCATTATCTGTAAATCCAAATTAAATAAACTTAAAATCTTTAGTGATAGTATATTTTGAGGAAATTCGTAAAAGGCCGCTTTGTCTTCCTGAATGATATTTTGCCAAATGTTATCCATGTAACTGTACATGGATCGTATGTAAATATTTATCACTCTCAGGAGCTCTTCTGACAAAACGTTTTTAATAGGTGGCTCATCCAACTGTAATATCTTTACTGATCTCAACAATGTCTTTGAAAACTGATCTATCGTTTTCATTCAAAATGGTTGTCTCTTTTCTCCACGCAGCTGTGATGAGTTCATTGATATTTTCCTGGGTTTGAACTTGGTTTGTTTGCCCAAACGCCTCTATTAATGAATTAAACTTTGCTGAATCGATGAATTTACTCAGGGATTTACTTGCAATGATGGTGGTGTAGTGGTGTAGATTCAAGCTTTGGAAAAGTTGAGTTCGTGGATCCAGCATAATGATAGCTACTACCAGATGAATGGATTGAAAGAAATATATGGCATTTCTAAGAACTCTTTTAATCCACATATTGGATTTTGGTTATGCTGAAAATAAACTGTTCTAGATGTTATAAGTTTTGCATCCATTAGTGCTACCAGTTGGAATGTTTTTATAAACAAATATTTTGTACCTTCATTCTTTTCCTCATCTCTAAACTCCGAGTTGTAACAATCTCCGTAAATGTTCTCTTTCCTCGTGTATAAATTAAAACCATCTCTTGTCTTGTGTAGCATTCTTTAAGTGTAGATAGTGGTTTGGTCTCTTTGTCTTCCATCTTTTCTGAAAATTCTTCGAGCCCAGGATACCAACTACCAGTATTGTGGTCCCCCACAACCCCAGGAGGTAGGTTAGGACTCAACATGACAATCTTTTCGCTAAATTCTTCATGAATTTCACTATACCATGTCTCTTTCCACCAGTTAACACTTGCTACCGGGAAGTTTGGGGCCAAGCTACATAATGTTTGGGCAAAATGTGGATTACGTATATTTTGAGTAACAGTGAGCAGTGTTAAACTCTTGTGGCTGTATTTTTTGATCTTTTTGAAGTGGTGTAGGGGTCGGTATGTATTTATATACTGTAGGCAAAGCAGGGCCAATCTGGGATATTTTACGTTCAAGTCAAATTGCGAGAAAAGTTTGTCGAACCGGATATCTTCCAGTAATGTCAATTCCTCAAGCCAGGTGGTGTTGAACATTTTGTCAATAATGAATCTTTCCCCAACTCCCTCTCTAAGGTTTTTTATGCTCAACTTTCTCAATTTTATATCGGTGAACAAGTTT